AACAGCACAGGAATGGGAAAATAATTATTCTTTGCACTATAGGATCGCCATGAGATCATGCTGCTCACAGTTTCTTCGAGAGAAACCTCAGATTCTCAAGGCTATTGTTCCAATATTAACTGTGTGCTGTCAAGTCAATTCTGATTTATGACAATCCTTTTTCAGGATTTTCAAGTTAGAAAATACTTAGAAGTGTAATTTGCCATTCCCTCCTTGGAACACCTTGGGACAGTGCAGCTTGCCCAAGGTCACACAGGCTGGTTCTACTAGCAGGAAGATTCCCTGGCTATTCCCTTCTCATTCAAGGGAAGATGTCTTATAAAATTAGTTTCTATGGCTGAATAACACAATCCATCTAGCTGAGCTAGTCAACTAGTTTGAAGTGATCTTCCTCTTATAATAATAGAATAAAAGGTTTGAGAGGATTTTGAAAAATCATTCAAGGTGCTTTCAAACCCTCAGTGCCATTACGATACATATAAGTTGTTGTTTGTTTGTTTATTTGATATATTTAAACATTTATAATAATGATTGAGTGCCATCAGGTCAATTCTGACTTAATGAGACACTTTTCAGGGATTTATAGGCAGGGGGTACTCAGATGTGGTTTGTCATTTCTTTCTTCTGGGGGCATCCTGGGACTGTGCAGCTTACCCAAGACCAAACAGACTGGCTCTTCTGGGATGTATTACAAACTCTTAACCTCAGGCTCCACAGGCAGATACCTAAACCACTGAGCTATCCAACCAACTATTAAAAAGTTAGTTTTCAAGCACTAGTTTTCAAGCACTGGGGAGGGAAAGGATTTTGTGCTATGGCCACATACACAATGTTGAGTTTAGCTTGCCGTTAAAACGGTGGAATCATCATACTGATGTTACTATAAACAATGTCTTTTTCTTCCTTCAGCCAAATTAACTTGCCATGAGCAGAGAACATAAGAAGAACCCTGCTAGATCTGGTCAAAGACCCACCTAGTTCAACCTTCTATTTATACACTTGCCAACCATTTGCCTATGGCAAGTCCAAGAGCAAGCCAGGAGTGCAACAGCACCCTGCTACCCATATTACCCAGCAATTGATATACGGCAGAATCCGGCCTCTGGTACCAAAAGGGATGACATTGGGATCTTGCTGGCATACTGTGCTTCCTGCAATCCAGCCACCTCCCTGCTTGAGCTAACCAACTTCATCTCTGTGGGACTGTTGGGATCCCTGAGACTGATTGTCTTGGGGGATTTCAACATCCACATGGAGGCAGAGACCTCTGGGCCAGCTCTTGAGTTCTTGGAAACCATGGCTTCCTTGGACATGTCACAGCATGTTAACGGCCCCACACACGTGGGTGGCCACACTTTGGACCTGTTTTTCTCCACTGAGCAAAGAGAGTGTGGCCCGATGGTGACTGACCTTCAGTTGGTCCCCTTGTCATGGTCGGACCACCCCCTGATAAAGTGCAATCTCATGGTGGCCCTTCCTCCCCATGGGGAGCAGAGACCTATTTTCATGGTCTGCCCTCACAGGCTACTGGATCATATTGGATTCCAGGATGCCATGAGAAGGATTCCGACTGACCTGGCTGGCACTCTTGTTGAGGCTGCCAGAGCTATAGACACAATTGCTCCTAAACGCCCTCTCCGCTGCAGAGCCTGACCAGCACCTTGGTTTAACCAGCAGCTGCGGACTATGAAGCAGAATAGGAGAAGGCTAGAGAGTGTCTGGAGGCAGAACCCAACAAAAAATAAATTTAAAGCTGGCAAGGTCACATCTAACCTCTACCTTGCTAAGGCAGAGGCTGCTAGAAAAGCCTACTTCACTATCCGGATAAGCGAAGCATCTAATCAGCAGGCAGAACTTTTCCGTATAGTACGCAACCTATCTGGAATTGGCCACAATGATTGGCCTCCATCTAGCATGTGATCAATTTGCAGCATTTTTAAAATCAAACATGAAGACCATCCCCTGGAATCTCGCACCCTATTTGAAAACAATGGATTCAGTTGAGACATCAAGCACAGCGCCTTGTCTGATGAGAATTATTCCGTTTCAACCTGTGACGTCTGCAGAGGTGGACAAGGTCCTTGATTGCTGTCAATCCACCACCTCCTCTCTTGACCCTTGCCCAGCCTGGCTAATCAAAGCTGAATGGGCCACTGAAATAGTAAATGGGTCTTTTCCTTGCCCTTAAGGAAACGCTCATTAGACCCATTAGGAAGAAACCAAGCTTGGCAGTGGACAACATTGACAATTATAGGCCCAATTATAGGTGGCCAACCAGCTTCAGGCTCTCTTGGATGAAACTAATGCCCTGGATTCATTTCAGTCAGGCTTCAGGCCGCGCCACAGCATGGAAATGGCATTGGTCGCCCTGCTGGATGACCTCCTTAGGAGGCTGATAGGGGAAAAATGTCCTTGCTCATACTCCTTGATGTCTCAGCTGCCGTTGATACCATTGACCATGGTATTCTCCTGGAGAAGCTCTCTGAGTTGGGGATTGGTGGCCTTGCTCTCGCTTGACTCTGGCCCTTCTTGGAGGGCCATCCCCAGAGAGTTCAGCTTGGGGAGAATGTATCAACCCCGTAGTCCCTCAATTGTGGGGTCCCGCAGGGTTCAATCATCTCCCCAATGCTGTTTAATATCTATATGAGGCCATGGGGGGTCATCTGGGGATGTGGAGTTTCATGTCACCAAAATGCTGATGACACCCAGCCCTACATCTCCTTTTTTCCATCTGCAGTGGATGCCATTCCGTCCCTTGGGCGCTGCCTGGAGGCCGTTCTGCAATGAATGCAGTCAAATGGACTAAGGTTGAAGCTGGACAAGATAGAGGTCCTGCGAGTGAGTGGCCCCAATGTCAGTGGTTTGGGGAACTCCCTCTCTTTTTTGGGGGGTGACTCTCACCACAATGAATTTGGTTCACAGTATGGAGGTCCATCTTGACCCAATGCTTACCATTGAGACCCAGGTAGCATCCGTGGTTTGGTCTGCCCATTTACATTTTCAGCAGATCGCCCAGTTGTGTCCCTATCTAGACGTGGGGGTGCTCACCATGCTGGTCCATGCGCTCGTAGTCCCAAGAATAGACTGCTGTAACACTCTCTATGTGGGGCTTCCTTTGAGACTGATGAGGAAGCTCCAGATGGTAGAACACGGCAGCCAGGCTATTAACAGGGGTGAAAAGATTTCACCATATTTCCCCCACCTTGGCTGCCTTACACTGGCTACCTATCCACTTCTGCATCGATTTCAAGGTGCTATTATATAGAAAGCCCTTAACGGTTTAGGCCCTTGATACTGGGCAGAGCACCTTCTTCCGCCCAGTTCTACCTGTTATCACCCGCTCCAGTCTGACCGGGCGGCTGAGGGGCCTAATGCCAAGAAAGGCCTGGTGGGAAAAAAACTAGAAATTGGGCCTTCTTGGCAGTGGCCCCTCACCTATGGAACAACTTACCTATAGAGATACTCCTGGCTCCCTTGCTGAAGGCCCTCAAGACTAGCCTGAAGACATGGCTATACAGGCAGGCTCAAGACTAGCCTGACGACATGGCTATACAGGCAGGCCTTCCCTTCAACCATTACCTAGCCTATCTTTTCCTTTCTCTCTCTCTCTCTCTTTTTCTTATTTTTTCCTTTCCCCACCTTGGACTTTGTGATTAATTTGGATTTTACCTCAGTTTATTTTCATGTTATATGTAAACCACCCAGAGTAGACACATTCTAGATGGGTGGAATAAATAAATAAATAAATAAATAAATAGATAGATAGATAGATAGATAGATAGATAGATAGATAGATAGATAGATAGATAGATAGATAGATAGATAGATAAATAAAATCCATCATAACTAGAAACTGTCATTGGCCCCATCCCCTGTAAATGTGTCGGTGTTGGCAGCTGTCACTAGAATCTTATAGCAGCAAATGCTACAGTTTTAATATACAGTAAGTAACTAAACATGTCAGGGATTCCTTGATAAGTCAAGAAATAACATGGTTAACACTTTTAGATAGCTTGAGTAGTTAAGTCAGTCCACATGTGGTAGATGAAAACAATTTGAAGTCTTAAATATACTTGCAGAAAGACTGTGCTTGCCACT